ATATATATATATATATATATATATATATATATACAGGGGCGGAGTCAAGATTTTAGTTCAATGCGGGCAAAATTTTTTTGACGACGAATGTCGAGGTTTTGTTCAGGAATTTAATGATGATAAAAAAATAAAACAACAGTACATCAATACTAAAAACGACATAATTTATATATTACACTTGTTCTTTGCGAGTTTTCATACTTTGATATCGTTGTATAATAACTTCATTATTGAACTTGAAAAATATATCTTTCTCCACATAAACAATTGTACTATCATTCATCCACTGATCACCCAATTACTACTAGGAGTGGGAGTAATTCGAGATGTCAAATGAATCACAAATACTGGAAGCAACTCAAAAAACTAGTGCAATTCACAATTTCACAAAATCAATTCACAATTTCACAATGCAATATATACTATTTCCAAATACTTGGCAACTTGAACTTGCAATCACAGATTCTCAGAGAGTCAGAGCCCAGAGGCAACAATGAACTGGTGGTCCATTGCAAGTTTGTGCCGCTTCGAGCAATTAAAGAACAAAGTGCTAATATAATATGTTAAAAAAAAAATTATTACAATTTACACATTGAAATAACCAAAAAAAATAAGGGAAAAAAATTTGGGGCTTCGCCTTTTGCTTTCTGGAATCTGGCTTCTTCTTTTGTCGACTCGGCTAGTTGGCGTTGGCACTTGGTGCCTTGGCGGAGTTGAGGATGTAAAGTCGGAGTCAGAGATGTGAGATGTCAAGATGAAAGCCTAGAGTAGGAGATATACAATAATGCCCCGCACTGGACGTATAGTGGCTCCGCCCCTGTATATATATATATAAAAAGGTTGATAAATGTTTATACATGCAGAGGCGGAAGACAAGGACAAAAAGCATAACATTGGCTGCTGCTTTGGAATTGGGCATAAGAATTGGGTAATTACGTAGAAGAGGACGGACAAGGCAGTGACAAACGAATTAATTCCAAATTTATGTATGATAATTCATCAAAAATTGAGCACGAGTTAATCATGTTTAGTCTATTCTTAGGTGATATTTTTCAACTTTTATTTGTTTAATTCCTAAATCAAGCTTGGCTATTTTTTCATATTGTTAGGATGCGATGTACCCTCATTATGAAATTAGATTTACGTTAAATTTTTTTGAATTCTAGATGTTTATCATCGTTTTGCATGCTTTTCAATTAATTGGCCACTAGTTAAATTATTTGTGAATTTTGTTGTTATCGAGAGAGACAATAGGATCATTAGCACAAACTAATAAACATTGTGAGGTTTGATAAATGATAAAAATATACCTCTATGATTCATATGACTTTTATAAGATAATCTAACTTGTTTAAAACATTTATCATGTTCCCATCTTTCATTGAGAGATAGGAAGGTTGTGTGAGTGGAATAGAATTGATAATTATCAAGAGAGGTTTTCAATTAAAATAGGAACATTGACCAACAAGCATGATTTCAAATTATTATTTTAAATTGTTGAAGTAAAAATGGATTAATAAGAGGGATTCTATATTCTAGCAATATATCTAACAAATTTGATAAATTTTTAAATTGCTTTCAAGTTAGTTAATATATTTAATAGTATTAGTTACAACTCGATGTTGCTATTTGATTAAGAAAATTGTTAACTTTAACTCGATCAAATACATAGTTCTCATAGGTTTAACACTCTACACACTACTATATTATTTGTTCACGATCCCGTGCACTTGCGGGTAATCAAACGATCATAAAGTTTCACTCTTATCAGTTGAGCTAAACTTAGACCTCGATATTATCTGACTTTTAGACTTTTAGTGTTTATATTCTTTGTTTTATGTTTTTAATACTGATACCCAATTGAAATTAAATTTTATGAGACTTCACTACATTCAACGAATGTAATTTATTTTCCAAGGCTTCACTTCATTCCATTAAGTGTACCTTAGTCCTCGAATTCAATTAATTGTGCTACTCATGTCCTCCTTTAGTTTAATTCAAGCCCTTTAGATTTCAAAGTGTGGAATATTTACTTCAGATTTTCATCCAATAGCCAATTTGTAATTTGTCTTTTTCCAATTGCTTCACATGAGTTCATAACTAAAAATAAAAGAAAATTAACCCAAATTAAGTAAAAATTAATAATTTGACGACAGAAAAGTTTAATAATATGACTCGGATAAGTGAACAAAATGCACTTATCAATGTGTGATGGTAATATTTCACTTTGATACTTAAATTAGTATAATGTTCTTTCTAAAAGATAAATTGATAACAAACCGTTAAATATCGAGTAGGTAAAACTCATTTTAATCTTCGAGTAAACCACTTGTTTATAGCCTTAGAACTTGTATTAAGCTAGAGTTCTGTGTTCAATCCAATCCTTTTT